AGGTCCAGTGTTCAGACTGAGACACCTGGATGGATGTAGAACTGATCTGGTGTCAGGTTCTACCAGGACCCAGATGTGTTCTTCCTCCTAAATGTCATGTGTCTATCTGCTGTTCTGATGAAGTTCTGAGGCTCAGAGTTCGGGTTGGTGATCAATCTGGACCCTCCTCTGTGGACCTCTGGAACATTCACAGTCTGAAGGTAGAACTCTGGTCAGTGGATAAAGGTTCTGCAGATACAGAACCAGATGTTCTGAGGAGGTTCTGGTGGATTTTGTTCAGATTTTATCTAAATTCTTCTTTGGTGTAAAAACCTGAACCTACAGATTTCTCCTCTTTTCTCTCGCTGGCTGACTGAAGGAAGCTTTGATCACCTCTGAGTGACGGTTGAGTGAGTTAGTTCTGTTTGACCCGTTTGTGTTGGTTACTGACGGGCTGGTTAGCTGTTTGTCTGTTCAGTCTGTCGATCTGCTGTTTTCATTCCTTCCCTCCGTCACTTCCTCGCTCCTCATAAAAGCTTTTCTCTCTAAATGTCACATTACACGGTTTCTCCGCCGCCCTCGGGGGTGTCGGGCTTTCTATCAGGACTCCATTGTTCCTCTGCACCGCTGGCGACCTCCGGCTTGTTTGTTTGGTAACCGTTGGCGACCGGCGAGCGCTAACGAACAGGACGAGTTGTGTTCAGACAGTCGAGCTGTTGTGCAGCTCAGCCAGCGTCTGGCAGAGACCCAGAGTCCATTCCTGCCTTTCCAGCAGCGTGGTGCTGCCGGGTCAGAAGCTGCCTCCTGTTTGTTTGTTTGTTTACGGGGTTGTGCTGCTGATCAACACTCACCTTTAGGCGTGACATCAGCACCCAGCCAGCTCAGGAATGTCTCACTTCACACACATTTTCCAGCAAACCCTCCGTCCAGAGGAGGCAGCAGATAAAGATCTGCTGGAAAATATTGTTTCAGGCTCTAAAACTCCGGCGTCAGAGTTTGGCTTCAACACGCAGCGTCTGACCGGGTTCAGGAGAGTCTGGGCTGACAGCACAGAACCTGTTTATCGAGCCGTGAACAGAACAGACGGACTGCAGCGGCTCCTGTTTCCTGGGGAAAGATTACAGCGGCGTTCCGAGCACGGCGTTTCCTCTCGGCAGCCGGGCCGGACTAATCTCTGGACTCGGAGCTTCCTGAGGTGAACGCCGGCCATCTGGGCTGGAGGAGGAAAATCTGATTTCATGAGTGGAAACATCAGAGCCGTGTTTCCATCACTTCAGAGGACGCTGGATGGACGCGCTTCCACTTCCTGGAAAGTCAGCCTTTCCCCAACCTTAATCTAACCTTCAAATAACCTTAAGATCACAAACTCCTCACAGAAAACTTTGCCTCATGAGAACTTTTTTTAATTTGGTCCCCGTAAAGACGCCGAGTCCCGATCATGTGAGTGTGTGGACAGATGATGTCCCCACAGCTGCTGTAAACACACACACACACACACACACACGAAAGGAGTCGAAGTGTCAGTCGAGTTTCAAACTGTTTCTAGTCAGTGGAGGTGGAGGGTCAGAACAGAACATTTAAACAACAGCTGCAGTTAGTTGGTTAAAAATACCGTTAACATCCTACAAACGTTTATAAATCCGCCTCGACCTGACAGATCGGAACATTTCAGTGATGTGTGGAAATATGTGGACAACACGGGCCAATCTGTGACATTTTTTTGGCAAATAAAAATGTTGAAAGAAGTTGAAACGTTAGTTGACATTTAGAAGTTTGAGCTGAAGTGACCTGAAGTGACCCCAGTCAAAGTTCAGGCACTAGAACAAGTCGACGTGTCAGCTGGAGGAAGGATGTGGGAAAAATCTGACGACTTAGTTAAAACTGTAAAAGTAGCTGAAGTGTAAAGAAGCCAGTTGATTTAGAAGTTGAGGCGTCTCCGTTTGCGTTGCGTATAACATTCAGCTAACGTTCACTGCATGAAGTTAGAGTGAAACGCTGAAAGGAGTTGAAGTGGTGGCGAGTCAGTGGATGTGTTCAACAAATGAGCCTTCAGTCAGCGGAGAAAACTGAAAGGAGATGAAGAGTTGATCAACGTTCACACAGAAATTTAAGCTTCAGTTTGATTGTAAAAGGAGTTAAAGACTGAAGCTGAAGCACTGAAAGGAGTTCAGGTGTCACTACAGGGAACTCAGTGGATGTTAAATCTGTGAAAGGAATTTAAAAACCAGCAGAATTTAAAGTGTTGAAAGCAGCTGAAGAGTCAGTTGACGCACTTCAGTGAGAACATTTAAAGTAGCTGAAGTGTTCTTTCAGTTAAACTACTTTCAGAGAGTTTTTGTTGCAGCACTGAAAGGACTGAACGTCTCGTCTGCAGCAAATCAAAGACTTTGTGTCGACTGACGAGTTTGTTCAAATTCAAGAACATCAAGATTTATTAGTCGACAAATCTCAAAGGAGACGAAGAGTCGATGCCGGCTTCAGCTGAAGTGACTCAAAGCAGTTGAGGTGTGAGTAGGAGAGCTGCTCTAGGAGGTGATGAGGTCACATCAGTGCTGCTGGTGCGTGTTAGCGTGTTCACATCAACACGGAACCACATCAACACGGAACCAAGTGAAGCACTGAAAGGAGCTGAAGCGGCAGATGAGACGTGTCACTGTGTGAAGTGTGTGTTGTGCAGAAACACCAACACACAGATGACTTATGGACGCCATCATGTGACTGTGATGTCAGCGCCTCCTGATTGGACGATCCATCAGGAAGTCTAACCGCGCTGTTCGCTCGACTCGGACGAACACGAGGTTTTAATGGAGGTTAAAGACGACACGAGTTTGTGCCGTGAAACGTGTCGACATGATGAGTAAAAACAAAATAAAAACACTTTTCTAGTCCTAATTTAACTTAATCTGTATTTTTTTGGCTGTTTGTAGAAAAACTGAAATCACCTTTTAAATACAAAGAATTCTGATAGAAAATAAATAACCAGACTTAACACTGAGATCTATGCATCTATATGTAATCTATATATATACATACATATAAACCTGTGTAGAGCGCATAACACAGGTCTGTTGTAATCAGCATTTACATGTAAATCGTGTGTTTGGCTGATCTCTGGTGCTGCAGTGGGTCCGCCTGTAGCATGAGTTTTGAACAACAGTTCAAACTTGTGATTAGATTCACAAAACAAACTGTTAATTTGATCTCGTATCAAATATAAGTTTTACATGTAACTGATCATCAGCATGTCGCATATTTAGTAGATCTACATTGATAATTGATTCTACATCAGGTTCTTGTCGTTTTCTATTTTTTACGGTGCGGATGTGAAACAAACCGTCAGACTGAAACAAGAGTCTTCAGCTCAGTCAGGATCAGCTGT